TAAAAAAATTTGCACTACAAAGACGTTACCAGAGATGGGGTCCTTGGTCTCATCACAAGAAAGAATTCAAGAACAGATACATGAGCAGTTGAGCTTTAAGAGTTTCATTTGGAAAATAAAGAGCTTAGAGAAGAGTGAAAGTACACACCTGAGGGCTGAGTGCTGGGCCAACCCAGGGGGAGTTGGGCAGACGGAACACTAGGGAGTCTTTCTAGGTAAAGGGAGATGAGTTTCTGGCTGTATTTGGTTCTCAATGGAACTCTCACGGTGCAGGGAGGCGGGACTCTCACTGTGTTAAAGAGTATATCATGTATTTTGGGGTGAAAGTCAATGTCTCCTGCATGTTGGAACCAGCTGGTTTTGGCTGGCCTGTGTGACCTGCATCCTTACTCCCACATCTGGTGAGAACAGCTAACTTGGAGTGTGGATAATGCAGACATGCAGCCAAATGCGCAAACACTGGCCAATGGGGAGCAACAGCCCGAGCTCCCCCCTCTTCGTTGCTCACGTCTGGCTAACTACCTTCCTTAACACAGATACACCATGTACATTATAAAGCAAGCAAATACATTCAAAATTAAATATAATTAAAAAGGATAAAATAAAGAGGATAAAAGAAATATTTTGAAATGCATATTTAGCTTAAATGTATTAAGAATATAAAACCCTTTCATTTATCATCAAAATTATTTGTATAATATTAATAATATTTTTAATCAGACTGAAGGATTCAAATAAATTTTACTGTATTTTGAACCATTACACACTGTAAATGTCTGTTCCTATTCTGCCCCCTTTTTATCAAGTTTATTCATAGTGTCCTTTATTTTTTTTAAAAGTCTTGATTTGATGTAGTAAAATTCATTGATTTCGCTGCCTCACGGCTGAAGCTTTGAAATGTATTTTTGAGAATCTCTTCCTGTGTCCTGGCTCACTAAGATATTTCCCTAAGTTTCTCCCATTAACTTTATAATTTCATCTTTCACTTTTAATTCTTTAATTCATTGGGGGCCACTTTTATGTAAGGTGTTTTGCACAGACCTTGTCTTAGTGTTTTCCTTATACCATCGATTAAGCTATTTACCTTTGATCCACCGGTTTGTGGTGCTACCTTTATTGCATATTAAATTCTTACACACATGCACACGGTGTGAGCTCTGTCTCTGTTCCATCACTAGTTACACTCACACAGCTTTTCTGTAAAACATTACTCTTTAAAAAGAAGTAATATGCTATTGAGGATGTGTGATCCCTGGTACATCTTTCATTTAATGGCTCACATGAAGTGGTCTTTTGTATATTTAGTCATTGAAAGAAAATTTAGCAAATACCATATGACATATTAAAAAAAAACTCTGTGTTCTTATCCAGCTGTATAGAAAATCTCCCACACAACATATTTTGCTCTAAATCGAGTTTGTTCAAATCTTTCAGCGTTTTCTATGATTTTTGCAATGGCAATGCTGGCAAAGGGACGGATTTTACTTTTTGGATTTTTCCTTATATTACTTTACCTCTTATTACTGTAACAGGATGAACAAGCATTTCCCCAATGGTATTGTCTCTTTTGCCTGTTACTAAGAGATCTCAAAAGAGACTTTTGGGTATTTATAATTATATTTAGTAAGATTTTATAAAATACTAGACTGAGGGTTGTCTGATTTTACATATTCCTGAAAGGCAGTTGTGGGTGTTTGTCTTCACGTTCTGGAAGTTTCGTTTCTCGAGGTATTGTTAACCACAACCTCACAGCTACTGGCCTCACGTCAGGGAGGCTGAGAAAGGCGTGCGTCTTGCTGGCTCAGGTCTGCTCCTCTTTTCCCCCATCAGCATCTTGATTTGGACTGATCTCCACCTTTTCTCTAAGCACATGGAGTTTTTGTGTAACCTCTGCCAGCCTGTGTGATCCAGAGGCGGGCACATGGCCCAGGCCAGGCCAGTGAGACTCAAGTCCAGCGTTTCGGTGGATATTAGGAAAGAGAAGCTCCCTTCCCATGGAGGCTGTAAGCCTGGGCCCTGGGGAGACAGTCTGCTTGCAACGCAGTAGCCCTGATAGTGCAGCTTGATCTCCTCCTCAGCTCTGCCTGCCCCCCAGAATGTGAGCCCAGAAAGTGGGCTGTTTATGGCCATTTTCAAACTACAGAAAATCTAAGGAACCACTACCCCCTGTTCTTTATCTTTCAGACAGCTTTCCTGTTCATGAGGTCTGCAGGACAGGACCGGGCTGCCTGCATCATCCGAGGCTTGCTCGTGGGCTGTCGTGACTGGCAGGCTTCCGGTGGCCTGAATGGAAAGGCCCTTCCCACGGTCCCTCTGTAAGCTGGAGCTGATGCCACCAGCCAGGGAGTCAGAAGCTTCACGCCTAGCTCCCAAACTATGACAAATATATTGCTGGTTAATACTGCCTGGTACACTGGAACTTTCTAAGAGGGTAGATCTTAATATTCTCAACTCCACACACACACAAAGAAGGAAAATGGAAGCTCTGTGAGTTGAGGGACACATTAATTAGCTTGATCGGGACAATCATTTTGCAATGTGTGCATACAGCAAAACCTCAAGCTGTACACTTTAAGTATGCATAAATATGTATAAATATCAATAAAGCCCCCAAATACCTAATGCTGTGGTGTGAGCATTTGCCCCTTACTTCTGATCCCCGCAGATGTTCTGGGAAAGGGGAGGATTTTCCAGCTCAGCAGGCTTTTGTGTATTTAATTACTCGGGGATTATGTGTTAGAAAACAGTGACTCAGGCGTTACAAAGAAGCACAGAGCCCCAGATGCGAAAGGATCTCAGAGACTCTGCTTTGCAGCCGCACAGTTAGAGGACTTGGCCTCCAACAGAAATTCAAGGCTCACATAACAGCTTCATGGCAAAACTCTTTAGAAAAAGGCCTGGAAGTTCCTTTTTAAAACTAAACATTCACCTACCCTATGACCAAACAATGCCACTCCTAGATTTTTTACTCAAGAGAAACTAAATCGTGTTTGCCAAAGGTGTGTACAAAAATGTTCTCCGAAGCTTTGTCCATAATAGTCTCATACTGCAAACCACCCAAATGTTCATCAGGAGGAGAATGAACTTTTTTTTTAAAGTGATATATTCAGTCGATGGAATACTGCCAGCAGTTACAAGGAACGGACTACCAAACAAACAATTTGATTAAGAAATGGACAGAGGAACTGAATGACATTTTTCCAAAGAAAACATACAAACGGCCAACCAGTATATGAAAAAGGGCTCAACAGTCACTGGAAAAATGCAAATCAAAACCTCAAGCTATCACATCACACCTACAAGGAGGGTCAACACCAAAAAGACAAGAGATAACAAGTGAGGGTGAGGATGCAGAGGAAGGGGAACCCTGGTGCACTGCTGGGGGGCATGGAAATTGGTGCAGCCACTACGGAAAACCGTGGAGTTCCCTCAAAATATTAAAAGTAGAACTACTACAGGATCCAGCATCCTACTTCTGAGAATAGATCCAAAGGCAATGAAAACAGGATCTCACAGACATCTGCATCCCATGCTCACTGCAGCATTATTCACAACAGCTGAGACCCGGACACAGCCTAAGTGTCATTAATGGATGAATTGATAGAGAAGATACGGTATATCCATTACAGTCAATAGAATATTGTTCAGCCACAAGAAAGCAGGAAATCGTGCCATCTGGGGCAACATGGATGGACCTGAGGGCATCATGTTAAGTGAAATAAGTCAGATGTGGAATGAAAAATACTGGAGATCTCACTTGTACGTGGAATCTAAAAAAGCCAAACTCAAAGAAGAAGCAGAAACTGGAATGCTGGTTCCCAGGGGATGGGAGACAACGGGAGATGTTCAAAGATTATAAACCTCTAGCTATAAGATGAAGAAGTTCTGGGGACCAAATGCACAGCATCGTGATTATAGTTAATACTGTATTACATACTCAAAAGTTGGTATGATAGTAAATCTTAAATGTTCTAACCACAAAAAAGAAATGGTAATTATGTGGCATAATGCAGGGTTACCTAACAAGGGTGGCAACATTTTGCAATATGTAAGTGTATTAAATCAACAATCAGTCCACCTTACATTTATATAATGTTCTATGTTAATTATATCTCAATAAAGCTGGGGATGGGGAAAAGCAATGAAGGACTGATAAACACGATGGAGGCATCTCAAGCAACATGTCGCGTGAAGAGGCCAGGCCCTAGAGGGCATAGTGCACGACTTTGATTGTAGAGGCTCCTAGACAAACAAACCCATCTAAGGGGTTTGTAAACTCAGGACAAGTGCCTTTGTAGCTCTGGCTCCACGGCGGGCTGTCCAGTGGGGGCTGGGACCCTGAAGGAAAGGCAGGCACTGCTGGAAATGGATCCCAAACACTCTGGCCTCTCCCCTCCTCCTGCCCTCTGGTCACTGTCTGCCTCCACTGCCCGGGCCAGTGGAGCTGCGAGTCTGGAAATACCGCCTGCAGCCAGGGACACTGCCCACGTCACCTGGGCGACGACAGAGCAAGAGGTGCATCCAGGGCTGCCTTGCCCAGGTTGCCAGATTTATTGAATGAAATACAGGGTGTGTGATTGAATTTGAATTTCAGATAAACAACAAGTGATTTTTTAGGATGCACAGATCTTATGCAATATTTGGGACATATTTGTCCTAAAACATCATTCTTTATCTGAAATTCCAATTTAGCTGTGTGCCCTGAATTTTATTCACAACCTACAAGTAAGTTGTCATTCTTCCTGTGCCACTGTCCCAACACGTGACTCTCACAGGCAGAGGCTGCATCGGGCAGACCACCCTGTCAGTGAGGTCCTCACCGCTTACTCACGGACTGGCATTCGGGTGTGCACCTTCACAGCAGCCAGAGTCTTCTTGGTTACAGGCGACAGAAATGCAAAGTAGGCGAGCTAGGTGACAGGGCCGCTCACCAGCTGATGCTGTCAAACCTTGGAAAGGACGGGCCCGTGGCACTGAAACCAGGAATCCTCCCCTCCTACCTGCGTCATCTGGTACTGCACGCCACTTTCTTCCTTCCAGTCAGCTTGTGGGGACCCGGCTCCCAGACTCACAGTTTTCCCTGAGCAGGAGAGAACAATTCCCAGTGGAGAACGATCGCTGGGAAAGGCCACCGCATCACTGGTCCTCAAAGTGCGGCCCTGAGCGGCGGCCCCAGCATCAACAGGAACTGGTTAGAAGTCATGGCGCCTCCCAAGCACTGAGCTACATCCGGTTTCAGAGCCTCCTCCAGATGCAGACGTGCGCCCAGGGGTGCGGGCCACAGCCTCGAGCAAGGAACTTGCTCTTTCTAGAGGAAGAGGAGGGTTCTGGGCAGAAAGCGGTGATCGCTCTCCATCCCATCAGCGTCGGAACCAACCGAGCCAGCCAATTTCTCACACTGCTCTGATAAATTAGGTCTGCGTGTCTGCACGAGCTCAGGTTGCAGAGTGTGACCCCATCACCAGGCCGGGCGCCCAGGGTGGGGTGGCCCGATCAGCCTTCCCAGCTGCATCCCACCCTGGGGTGTTTCAGCCCTTGGCCCTCCCTCCCAACCCAGACGGCCTTCCCACCCCCATCCCTGCATGATTAAACCAGAATCGGCTGATCGTTAGCATCCAAAACAGGGCAATTAAGTGGTAAAAATAAGGATGCGGTTTTGGTTGTCACTTTTAAAGATGTAATAGGAGCCTCTTACATTTTGCAAATATATGCCATTATATTGACGCACCTGACCTGATTATGGTTTCTTCAAATGCCTTCCTTTTCTCGCTTAAGACATTAAGGCAGACATTTTAAACCATATCATCACGTATCTCCAACATTAACGAATTATTAGACACTAATTGCTCTGGGTTCTAGCCACCTCTCTACATACAGTTTTCCATTTGCAGAATTTAAAACGTACCAGAGTAATTTATGTTCCTTACAGCTACGAATTTGTTAGCTTCACGCAGAACCAGCAAAACCTGGGGAACTATTATGTAAATATAGATAATGCCTCACCAAGGATGGTAATTGATGCAGAGACCTCCAGAAAGACACGTTCTTCACTGCCAGCCCTGCCGTGTGGGCGACTGAAAGGCTGTGGTGTGGCACAAGGAAGCCCCAGACCGTCCTCCTGGTCCCTTAGAGGTTCTTTCTGAGCCTGAAACCCTTCAGTTTCCTTAGAGGAAATGAGAAACAGGATGAAGACCCTCTCCTACTCCCCGGAGCCCCAGCGCTACCCAAGAGCAGAGTGGCCCTGGCAGCTCACTGTGACTCCTGGCCCCGTCTATGGGTCCATCTATCAGTTCCAGTCCAAAACAGAGTGCTGCGTCTAATGTTGTCATCTCAACTGTATCGAAATCAGCATCATTAAAAGCTGTGTTTACTCTTAATCAGCACAGATTTGAATGTTTTTGGTAACTCCAGGCAATGAGGTTCTGCCTGCCATGGCAGGAAAGGCGGTCCTGCCCAGCTGCCCTAAGGCTGGCATGTTACGGAGGAGGCAACCAAGGGATGGAAGGGGACTCAGGAACCTTCCCCCAAATGTGGGCTCATCTTCTATAGCAGCTACTGACTTCACATCAATAAACCAACATTTCTGGGGATGTGCAATGGGCTTTGGTTGCTGTGCAAGGTGCTTGGAGGACTGATGGGCAAGATGTGGTCTTGGCCTTGAAGAAGGTTTCAATCCAAGATGAGAGTCAGATATAAAAAGAAATCAGCAACAAAATGAGACAGAATGGAAAAAAATACTGATGGCACTTAAATGTCCTACTTGCCACAGGACCTTCACACATGCTGTTTCTGCTGTTTGGCTCACTCTGTCCTTCTGCCTTCTCTTGGTTAGCTCCCACTTGCCCCTCCTCTTTCCGTTATCACTTCCTTTCTACTGGGAGACGTCAGAGTTCCCCTTAGGCACTCATCACATGCTCAGTTCTCCAACCAGACTGAATGTCCCTTGAAGGTCTCAGCTGCCTCGTTACTGTTCACCTGTGCATGAATCCACCTAAGACTGTAAGTTAGAGTGTCCTAGGCTGACTCAGAACTGTCATAGATTAAATATATTAAAAAAATATATTTAAACTATATCTACATCCATATATAAAAACCGTGTAAAAGATATCTTATGTCTACATGTAAACAGAAGTGTCTCCCTTCGTAGCTGCCCATTGAGCAATGGAAGGACTTGAAGAACAGGGACATTTTTCTAATTGACTGTCCCATGCTTTGCAGGATGTCCAGCATCCCTCTTAAGGCCACTGCCCACAGCAGGCATTGTGACAGCCAGAGAACCTCTGACACACTTACAGAGCACCCCCTAGGGAGGGACAGCACCCCCATTCAAGAGCCACCACTTCAGAGATCCAACAGGATTGGCTGCATCCGAAAGGACTAACTTGCTGGGATGTACAGCATGGTGGAGACTGAGGAGTGACAGGGTAGTGCCATCCCTTCATCATCTAGCACTTACTTGTGCATTTACACGTACAGGCTGGGGGGTGTTGGGACCCAGGGGTGTGCAAAACCTGACATAGTCTCTGCCCTCATGGGCCGCCCGTCCAGAATTATAGTGCAGGCTGTAGGGAGGGTCTTTGATATTTAGATGGATAGGAGCTTTGCACCACTACTGGTTAGAATGTACTGGAAACAGGAGTTATAACACCTTGGCAGGACATCGTACCTCTTGGATGAGTGTTGGTGCGTTGCCTGGAAGATGCTCCTGACAGTTCATTTTCAGGCGTACTTGCATGTGTCTGCCCATCGCAGATGGAACAGAAGGCGTACTTAGCAGATCTGGAGATGAGAACAAACAGACAGGCTCTTACACTGGATGTCAGAATTAGGACTTGAAAAATCTCAGGTTGAAAGGATGGCTGGAGAACAAATAGAGTAAATCAACGAAGAGTGAATGCCAAGAATTAATTTTATATACACTCCCACTCCCACCCCCCTAATTATAGGACAAAGGAGACCTAGCTTAAGAGAAGATTGTATGACAAGTTCCTGGGAGGTGTAGGTATGTCCAGACCAGCCATGGGACGTGGTGCCATGAAGGAAATGTAACCCACTGGCTACATTAAGTAAGGTATTGGGCGCAGATGCAGGGAAGAGATAGTCCCACTGGAGAGGCAGTTATCATACCAATGTATCACTGTCACCGGGCCCTGCCTTCCCTGTTGCTGTTGCCATGCCCACTCGGTCGGCATCCTTCTGACATTACCCATGTATCAGGGCTTTGTGAGGGCTTGGGGTAGGCCCAGGGGAAGGGCAGTGGCTTTCCTGATTAGCTCTCCTCTGAGTCTCTCCCACTGTTTAGCTGACAGGTCTTGGCCAAGTTAGTCCACCTTTCCAAGCCTTGGTTTCATCTCCGGGGAAGTGGTGATAACAATATGTGAGGACGATAGGAAACAATTTATATATAGTATAAGGCAGGCCTCTAATTACTCTGAGGTCCCTTTATTATAACTTCTAGGATTGGGTGTGATTTGATTTTTCTTTCCTTTTCATCTAGATTTGATGAATGCTTAGCATATTCTATAGAGCGAAAGTGAGGGTCTTGTTACCAGTCCCAATTAGATATTTAAAAAGTCCCATAGGTCTTGATATGTTACAGGAACTGAAAGCTGGAATTGCAGGGCCGTTGCTCTAAAGAACACGGCAATCATTCTCTTAAAAGCCTCATGTAATTTCTTCAGTCTGCTTAGCAGTGTGTGCCTATCAATAATTGGCCTGTTATCCATTTCCCAACCTTAGATAATGCAGCTAATGGCTCCGTTTTTTCCAGCCAGGATGAAATGAAGAGAACAGAGTGTGTTGAAAGTTGGCTACTGGCCTTATTATTTGGGAGCATATTAACCCAAAGCATGAATGACCTGTACAGAATTTGAGTGTCCCTGGCTTTTGAGAATGGAATTGAGTATTGATTTCCACACCATTGTCTTACTGTTTAATTAAACAAACCACAGTCCTGGGTGTGTGCTGGTGACCCACGTTCTTACTCATTAACAAGCTCAATGGCTTCCCATATGAGCTACCACACACCTGTCAGAGCTCTGTGCACGGGGAGCTGGTGGCTTCTTGACAACTGGAGTAGAATTTACAGCTCACATTCCACTTCCTGTATATGACTAGTTCCATTCAAATCCTTAGTAAATAATCCTTGTTCCACATGATCAGACAAGAGGAATGTATGATGATTAATGTTATGTGTCACCTTGACTAGCCGTGGGGAACTCAGATTAAACATTATTTCTGGGAGCATCTGTGATGTTTCTGGATGAGATTAGCACTGGAATTGGTGGACTCAGTAAATTAGGTTGCCCTCCCCAGGATGAGTGCCTGAACAGAACAAATGAGGAAGGATGAATTTGCCCTTATCTCATCCCATCTCCTGCCACAGTTCAGAATTTACATCATTGGCTCTCCAGATTCTTAGACTTTTGAACTCAGGCTGTATTCCACTATCAGGTTTCCTGGGTCTATGGCTTGTAGATGGTAGCTCTTGGGACCTCTCGGCCATCATAATTCATAAGCAAAGTCCTCATCTATCTACCAATCTATCTATCATCTACCTACCTATTCACCCATCCATCTATCCACACATTCATCCATCCACCCGCCCATCCATCCATCCATCCATCCATCCACCCACCAACCCATCTATCAATCCATGCGTCATCCATCCACCCATCCATCCATGCATCATCCACCCACCCATCCATCCATCCACCCATCCATTCACCCACCTATCCATCCATCATCCACCCACCCATCCATCCATGCATTCTCCACCCACCCATTCATCCATCCATCCATCCATCCATCCACCCATCCATCCATCCACCCATCCATTCACCCACCCATCCATCCATCATCCACCCACCCATCCATCCATGCATTCTCCACCCACCCATTCATCCATCCATCCATCCATCCATCCACCCATCCATTCACCCACCCATCCATCCATCATCCACCCACACATTCATCCATCCATCTATCCATCCACCCCCGCTCACCCCACTGGCTGTGTCTCTCTGGAGAGCCCCAATACATCACGTTCTGATGGTACCTTTGCTCCCTGTAGTTATTACTGCACTAGACTCGTGTCTGGCCCATCACTTCCCAACCCAGCTCAGCTCTGGAAACAGTTGGGAGGAATGGGGGGAGGGCAGAGGTAACTTGTGGGGAAGGTAATAATGCCTGAGGTTGAGTCTGTGTGCGTGTGCAGAGGAGGGGCACAGGGAGTGGGGGGCCAGCGCCTGTGGCAGGCATGCCATCTTCCTTCCCTCTCTCCTGCCCTTGCCAAGATGTCGTTTCAGGTGGCGCTGGCTCCCCTCTGCTGACTGAGGCGAGGCCTTGTCATTTGCTTTGGCCCGTGGGATATGAGCAGACAATGTACGCCACACGGGACCAGAGTCTTTATAGGAGCTCTTGTGGTTTGGCTTGGCCTCTCGGGCCTGTCTTCCACCTTGAGAAGAGCATGTTCCAGAGAGCACCTGTCCCTACAGGAGCAAAAGGCCCATGAGGTTGCTAGGAGCCCAGCCCGCAGTCAGTTCGGAGCAGAGCCCAGCTCACCTGCTGATGCGTGTGTGAGATGCGCCCTTGAAGGCCCCTGGAATCAGGGCTTGACTATTAGCCAGTGACACTGCCGCATCTCCCACGGCTGCGGGAGCTGTATCAGAAGCTGTATCACGAGCTTTGAGGTCAGATGGTGACTTCCTGCTAAGCATCACTCGCCTGCCCCAGATTTATTTCCCCCTTAGATGTAAACACACCCCTGTGACACTGTCACGCTTGCTCAAGGAACAGGGGTGAGGATGGTAACTGCGGTGTTGTTTGCAAAGAAGAAGAACCGGATACAACCTGCACACCCCTCCACACAGGAAGGATAAGATCTCTGGGGCATAAGGAATTCAGTGGCACGGGGGACACAGGGCAAACTGAATGGGCTACCACATGTACACCCACGCGGATGCATTTCACAATGCGAAACTGAAAAGCAAGTTGTGGAATGATGTGGCCTGAATGAAAATAGTTATATGTACATATATATAAAATATAATACTATAAAACATCATGCCACATGTTGTTTACGGATGCATGGATAGGTATTAAAAGTTTAAGAACATACACATGAAGGAAAAACACCAAATGGATGATGGAAGAACCTGACGGGGGACGGGGATTGGAGGCGGGTGCCCGGGAGGCCTTGGCTGACTCTGTGATGTTTCCTTCCTTAAAAAAACCAAGAGTGGTCTGAGAATGTGTGACATGGGCTGAGATGTGGTAAAGTGGCGTAGGGGCACACAGGCACTCATCAGCTTGTTCTGTCTTTTTGTCTGTATGGAGCAAATATTGCAGACAGAACTGTTTTAGAGAAAGAAATGCCATGGTGTGTGGTGTGGGCTGTGTGAAGGAAAGGGGTGGCGAGATGGAAATGTGGAGGGGTGAGTGGAGGGTAAGGGGCACCCCAGGAAGCCGACTCAGGGAGGGAGCTGACATCATGGGTGTTTGTGGGAGCTCCCTGGGAGCAGCACCATGGGCAGAGGTGGGTGCTGGACAGGAGGCACCCCTTGGCCGGCCCTGGGGAGCTATGGAGCTGGGGTGACCCTCAGTGTTGTCCCCGGCTGGGTAGATGGCTGGGCCTTTATGTACCTTTATGCACCAGGGAGCATTGATCGCTGGCCACCAGGGAAGGGCCTGCCCTTGGCTGAGGTGGACTCTGCCAGCAGTCAGCACATGTCCTCACTGTGGGGCTCTGGGCAGCCCCACAGGTCATTTAGGGGCAAACTCATGAAGGCCTCAGGAATCTGACCTGGTTCTCACACCCATCATTCTTTAGCACACATGGTTCCTATACATAAAATGTTTAACATTTTAAAAATGCTTAATTCAAAAAAATCTGAACCTACAGAAAACCTACAAAACAGTTCCAATCTACAAAAAACTGGCAAGAACAGTACAATGAACACCCACAAACATACGCCCCTCACCTAGATTCATCACATGTTGGCAGGCACCATGAGCAAGCGCGTCACCCTCCATTGGGCATTTTCTCAGGCAGGCTTCCCCGACCCCCGAGGTCGGCCAAGCGGCAGGATCATGGCAGTTACCCTTCAAGGTGTCGGCAGGTAACTCCTAGGAACCAGGCCCTCCCCTTCCATAATCGGAGGGCAATGAGCAAGTTCAGGAAGCATAACACCATGTCAGTAACGCTCACCTGCCTTCCACTGCCCAGCACTGCCAGGTGGCAACTCTTCCCGGATCCGGGACCCACTCTAGGATCACTCATTGCGTTTGGAGTCAAGTTACACAGCTTCCTTAAGGAGCAACACTCTGCTTTTGTGAGGTTTCCTGACGTTTTCCAGATTCTTCTCCTGAGGAGCCTCAGCTTGGAAGGAGAGGCCTGTTCCACCCAACCTCAGCTTGCACAGGTGCCAGAGGCTCCAAGCGCCGGCTGCTCCCTCCACCGGACCCTCCACCTGCCGCCTGCACGGGGAAGTAAGTCCCACTTGGCTCTGGCTGGGCTCACAAGGTCTTGCTGTCTTCCTTGCAGCAGGTGGGGGACGGGAGCCACTGAGAACTCCATGCTGCAAGCTCTGGCTTCACAGTCTGGGGCGTTTGCCCCTTAGTAGGGTTGCTGGGGTGGAAGAATATGCATCTCAGGTTGACCAGAGCTGTGCAGTGATGCCTCTAAACCCCTGTAGCTGCTCCTGTGTGTCTGGCCCTGCAGGTGTCCCTAGGGATCCCACTGGAACTGGTACCAGGTGCAGAGCCCAGGGCTCCTAGCAGGTGTGCACCATCCGCTGGAGGCCCGGCCGCCGTCCACCGACAGCCATGCCTTCGGCTTCACACATCCGCTCAGTGGCTTTCTTCTCTCTCAGGCGCTGACCCAGGAGCAGTGCTGAAGACGCCCCAGGATCTATGACACACATAATCACAGATGCCATCAGAGATGCTTCAAGATTTTGACAGACATGTTTACACACAACTCACTATGTAGCATGTAGCAATAACTAGTCAAATGTCCCTTTATAAAAATCCTTATTTAGCAGTTAAAATAAAGACATGATTGGAAGATGAATTCTACAATTACTAAAAAAAAAAATCCCTATTTTGCAAGCCAAATACTTCTGATTGATCAAGTCCCTGTAGGTACAGCCGGCCAGACCCCCAGGTCACAAGAACTCATGCTTGTCCTACTGCTACCTTGCGCTTAGGGTCTAGCCCTGGAATGGACTGCTTGGGTTCGAATCCAGGCTCTGTCCCTGAACGACCTGGGCCAAGCACTGAAGCCCTTTGAACCGCTGTTTCTTCATCTGTAAAATGCAGATAACAATGTGGGAATTAAGTGAATGAATGCAGTAAGGCACCTTGACTGTGACTGTGGCCAGGCAGGCCCACACCGTGCTCTCTGCTGGCATTAGCACATCGACCAGACAGTCCTGCAGGGGTGGCTCCTGCATCTGGGCCTGGATCTCTCACAGGAAATGAACATGCTGAGTAAAATGTATTGTTTTTTTTTACCAATAAAAAAACAGTAAAGTCAATGGAAAAAATAAATTTGTACTACATATATAGATTAATGGTCATATCCTTAAAAGATCCTACAAAAGAGAAAAATTAACAACCCATTTAAAAAAAATGGGCCAAGTGCTTGTGCTGGCAGTTCACAAAGAATGATTATAAATGGCCTATAAATAATCTCATGTTCCACTAGTAACTAAAGAAATGTAAGTTAAATCAACAAAGAGATAAGTCTTGTAGCTGTCATTTTCAAATCATAGCATCGGGCCCCAATGTCAGTAAGATTGTAGGGAAATGTGCCTTATCCCACAGTCCTGGTAGGATTTTAAATTTATATCTTTCTAGGGTCAAATTGGCAACATCTATCAAGGCTTCCCAATCATTTAGTATCTATGAATTCATCTTAAGGAAATAATGATAGATGTATTCAAAGAGCTTTGAGAAAGTTCATTTCCTGTTGCTTCTAATAGGGAAAATAACCTACATGTCCAACAAGAAGGGATCACTTAAAGAAATTATGGTGTATCCACACTATGAAAAACTTCATAACTTATACAGAGGTAGAAATTATATTTACTGATAAAAAAGTTCATAATTTATTTATTGTTCAGAGAAACAATAGTTTAAATGAAAAATTATATATAGTATGATGTTTTGTTAAAAAAATATAAAAGTACCTTTATGCAAAGGAAAAGTATTTAGAATAGTATACCCCCAAGCTCCAACAGCAGTTAAACAGCAGAAGTATGGGTAATTTTTATTTTCTTTGCTTTTCTTTATTTTCTAATTTCTTTCTAATTTCACAGTAATCACATTTATTTTTAAAAAAATGGAAGTAAGCTGTAATTACTCGTGGAGAGTAGAACTAGAAAGGTATGGATGAAATTCTTTTTTAATATACTTTTTCAAAAAGCGGTAATAAAGGTGGCTTTTCTACTTTTTTTTGGAATATTCTAGTTCTTTTTCAAAATTAGAGAAGGATCCAGTTGTATGAGTAGGCAGCGTGAATTCTCTAAAAGGAGCTTAGCTGATTACTGGCCAGGATCCTCACATGTGATGCTAGGCATCTTCTCCTGTGTTTCTGCCTTTGTCCCATCCTAAATCCAACAAAAAAATGAAGTCATCTGCTGAGGAGAGTGTTCATTACACAATAAATTGAATGTAGCCACTGAAAATATTCATGCAAATATCTTCATTAGTAAAATCATGCAATTAACCTGAAATATGTGCTAAATGAAGCAGCCAAATTGTTGCATATTTTCCCAGCTCTTAATTATAATTTTGGTAATCAATTTTTCTCCTGATTACCAAGAAGAAAAAAAATCTTCATCATATGCACAATCTGAGGATGAGATGGAACATGAGATAAAAACCCTGAATCGTTTTAGCAGAGGAGGCCATTAACCTTTCCTATGTTTTTGTTCATTGCAGGCATTTCCTGCTAACGCTCATTGCTGAAGATGATTGGATTTTAACAAGAGCTTTTTGGATCAAGCGCCAGCCCTTCCTGAGCTCTACATTTTGCAAGAACCACTGTCATTAAAGGTTACCAGCACTTCTATTATCGTCTTCCCGGCGTTTATTTGTTAAATGGCTTTTGACTGCAGTGTAAAAATTTTCCCTAAGTGAAAACTGACATCCAGGCTCACAACCCAACCACCCAGATGGCCCCTAATGCCCAGCTGGGCGCATCCAAGGCAGCGGGGTGGGTGGGAGCAGGAAGCCCTAGCAGACACATTCCCCTTGTTCTCTGGCCTCTTGCTCCATTTCAGTGAGCAGTTAGGGGATTTGAAGGCGGGAAGAACAAACAGTATAACATTTTACAAGGTGACCCTGGAGGAGTGGCTGAGCATGGGGAGCTTCAATTTCTGTTTCTGTAAAATGGGGGGAAAGAATAAATTCACAAGCTAGTGAGAATTGAGAGGAGAATTGAGAATTGAGCACACGCAAAGAAGGAAATATATTTGCCAACATTTAGGTTCACACCTTTTCACCTCCCCCTTTCATCATGTTCTCCTTGGAACAGTTCGCCTAACGCTGAATAAGAACAGGGTGCCTCGACAGGTGGGTGCTTGACCTTTCCAGCAAGATGTGGGTCCTGACCCTTGGCCTTAGGGTTCCTCGGGAGAGGTGACATGCTTAGTGCTTGGTGGTGAGGGTGGGTTGGGAAGAGCACATCTGTGGTGTGCAGGGAAAGGCTGGGAAGTCAGGGCCCGGGGTGTGGGGAGTGCACTGCACAAAGCCATCCTTGGCAGGGGGCCTGCCTTTCAGATTTGTATATTTATCCTGACCGTTTTCTAGATACAAGATGAGCAATTACGGTGATTTTCTGGCGATGGAAGTTAAAGTATTCCAGGGAAGCAACCCCGCTTTCTCCGTGGCACAAAGACACTCCGTAGGCTGCTCCCAGGAAAAGCCCTCTCCTGATGACTCCCCAGCTTTGCCGGGAGAAGGGGACACGTGTAAGGGGCAGAGGGGACGATCAGGAGACCCTGTTAGGGGGTCCTGGGGGCACCGGAGTGCGAGGACTTCTGCCTCCGTTCCTGTTAAGGGGCCGGAAGGGGGCTACATCTCGTGCAGCCCCGGCCTCAGCAGGGGGGACCAGCTAGACTAGAAGAGGAGGCCTGAGCATTGCCCACTCAAGCCGGGCGCTTGACGGACCCGCGGGCAGGGGCGGCGAGCAAGGCCTAGCGCGGGGCCTGAGGCCAGAACCCAGGCGCCTCGGTGCCCCACTCCTGGGCCTGGGGGAGGGGACAGCAGGGAGGGACCCGGAGCCTCCCGAGACCGGCCCGCGCCCTCCTCCCTCACTGCGCGGGTGTGCACCGGCGGTGAGCGTGCTCCCAACACGAACCAGGTGTGTAACAGGCGCTGGAGCTGCCCCTGCAGAGGTGCCACGGCCACCAGGCGGGAGGCTGCCCCGGGGAGGACACGCACACCCTGGGAAAGCAGGGGAGTGGCTGCCACTCCAGGGAGGGCGGGGAGAGGTCTTGTGTCAGTGGACCCACAGGGGGACTGAGAAGTGGGGGGATTCCAGAAGGGGCGTCAGGACCCAGCTAGGGTAAAGGCCTGGGTGGGAAAGAGGGTGCCATATGCAGGACTGGGGGGCAGCTCAGGGCGGCTTGGAGGGGAGGGCAGGTGGCTGGGGTGTTAGCTCCTGGGGTGTCCTCACCTGCCTAGGACAGGCGGGGCTGCAGGGCAGGTAAACCGGGGTTCTGGCAGAATCCCAGAACTCTCCTTCGTGCAGGCCAGCAGATATGCCCTCTGCCTGTCCAGGAAGATGTTCCTTCTGGAAAACCTCTGCTGGGAAGATGCAGGAAAGATGTGCGTTTGTGTGTGGAGGGGAACAGGGAGGGGAGGGGCGAGGGAGATGGTTAAATCAAACCCTTCTCTAACATTCAGTCCCAGAAATTTAGTTAAATGATCTGGGTTGTCCTCTTAGGATGATGATAGAGAGTTAAATGATAAGTGATTATCCTCTTACGATGGAATATTCTAGAACCATGAAAAAAAATCCTATTTCTGAAAAGTATCACACACCAATAGCACTTGTAATGTTAGATGCAGAACTCTGATACAATTTTACCAACTGGCATAAAACAATTTATTAGAGAAAAGTCATCCAGATCAAATAGGCTTTGTGCTTACTGTAATTAATCACTAAATAGGAGAAAATGTTTAGCATTAATAATTGAAGCAGAAAAATTTAAAAATGATTCGATGCTCCCTTTCTGTAAAGACTGGAAAATTAATGGTTAAAGGGAGTTTTCCCTTAATACAATGACACTTTGCATTTGAAATTCCAACCCAGCCGATGTTTATAGGAGAGCACGTACTCTGGTCTCGGCATGTACCTGTTTTCACAGCGAGGCACTCAGCTCTACTCTGTGTGGCCCTGCACTGCCTCTCTGACCTCACCTCCCCCCATTCTCCCTCTGGCTCGCTTGGAGCCAGCCTCACTGGCCTCCCTGCTCTCCTATTCTCCAGGAGAGCAGGGAGGCCAGTGACCTGCTCAGGACCTTTGCACTCACTGTTCCCTCTGCCTAGAAGACTTCCCCGGGCCCCAGACATTCCTATGGCAGTGGCTCCTCTATTTCTTTTGAGGTCTCAGCTCACACATATCACTGTCTCTTTAGATACTTTCTTGAGAACCCTATTAAAAGGCAAGCTGGTGCACCCCAATGCCCTACAAGTGCTCCCCATCTTCTCTATTGCTCTATCTCCCGTCATCACCCAGTACCAAAGACTGTCTTGTTTTCTGCCTCCAGGCCAGAAAGCAAGGGATTTGTAAGCTGTTTCCCAGGGGCCCAGGCACTGCAACTGCTCAGAGAGTATTTGTTACATGAATGAATAAGCAGAACAAAGAGCTGCCCTGTGGGAGGGGAGGAGACATCTGCA